ATACACTGGAGGTTTTCAAAGGCCTTATGGAGAATTCATTCCTCCAATTTTCCTTTTACATTTTCTGATTGGTCTACTATTCCCTAGTGCTTTCAGGGCATTTCCCTAGAGAAGTTCAGTAAGCATTGAAATTTTAAGGTTACTGATGCATACTGCTAAACATAATGCTGTATTTAACTGCACTCACATTAGGGTGAGCTACTTCCCTGGACTAGCTGAGACTTCCAGTTTTAGAATTGAGACCAAAGGTTTCCAGACATGGGGCATTCAGTTCTAAAACCATGACTGTTCTGGGCGAACTAGGTTGAGCTGTTTGGTCTCACACACTTTAGCACTGTGGCAATGACCTATATAAAGTTGTTCCAAATGGACAATTTAAAAACGTCTATTACTGAACTCTAGGCTAAATGAAAATTTATTTTGACATAAAGTGTGAAGTGAGGCTCTAAGCTAATTTTATTTCCCTAAATAACTAGGTAATATGCTCAACAATATTTATTTTTTAAGTCCATTCCTTACCACTAACTTTTCCTTATCATACTGTAACCTACTTTAATAAATTACAGTATATTTTATAATGAAATGTAGACATTTGAACAGCTCAGCTGAAAGGATTTTGCTTACCGTATAAATCATGAAACCACTACCCCCAACAAGACATGTATCTTTTCCATCAATGTTCAGCTGTGCACTTCTATAGTCAGTCCCAATCACTGGCAACCGCTTTCTGACTTACAGCACAAGTTAGTGTTACCTGCTCATGATGATCATGTAACTGGAATTATATGGTATGTATTTTTGTTATGTGTTTTGCGTTTCAGCAGTTGTTCCTCTTAATTGCTGAGTAGTATTATATTGTGTAAACATACAATTGAGCAATTTTCCTGTTGATGGAAACGTGGGTCATTTCAAGATCTAGATGATTATGAATAAGGCTGTTAAGAATGTTTTTGTCAAAGTGTTTTTGTCGACATACGCTTTCATTTGTCCTGGGTAAAACCTGGGTGGTAAAATTAGATGTATGTTTAACTCCTTAAAAACCTTCCTTAAAGTTCTTGTAGTGGTATATACAACTTTATATGTCCACTAGTAGTCAATGAGGGTTGCAGTTGCTCCAGATCCTCATCAGTGAATGATGCTATTTTTTTCTTTTGTGGTTCAACTAAGTGGGATATCGTATTTCATTATGACTTCAAGAATACCTATTTTTATCTAGGCAAATTCAATCTTTTTTAGTGTATAGTTAAGTTTTGGCAAATGTGAATTTCGTGCAGCCACCCACAATCAAAATATAGAACAATTACATCACTCTTATTCGAATCCCTACAAACCTCTTCATTCATCGTGGTCTGTGCACTTCTCTGATGCCTAATGTTAAGCACCTTTTCATGTGCTTACTGGCCATTCACATATCTTTTGTGATGTATCTGTTCAAGTCTTTTGTGTATTTTTAATTGGGTTACTCATCTTTTTATTGTTGATTTGTAGGAGATATTTATATATTCTGGATATAAGCAGTATGTCATGTATGCGCTGAGAATATTTTTTTAGCACTGTGTGGTTTGCCTATTTGGTTTTTCATCTTTTTTTTTTGAGACAGGGTCTTGCATTGTTGCCCAGGCTGGAGTGCAGTGGTGGGATCAAAGCTCACTGTAGCTTCAAACACCTAAGCTCAAGTGATCCTCCTTGCCTTAGCCTCCCACGTAGCTGGGACTACAAGTGTCCACCACTATATCCGGCTAAAAAAAAATTTGTTTTTTAAAAGATGGGTCTTGCTATGTTGATCAGGCTGGTCTCAAACTCCTGGCCTCAGGCGATCCTCCTGCCTCAGCCTCCTGAGTCACTGGAATTATAAGCAAGAGTCACCTCACCCAACGTTCTTGGTTTCTTAATGTCATCTTCTTTATGGTTAGTGTTTTATGCATTTTGTTCAAGGAACTGTTACCTCCTCTAGGCCTGCAAACATAGTCTCTGATATTTTCTTCTAGGAAGATTATGGTTCTGAGTTTTACATTTAGATCTATAATCCATCTAGAATTAAATTTTATGTCTGGAGTAAGACTGGTTTAGGTTTATAATCTTATATACAGATACCTAAGTATTATAACACCATTTGTTAAAAAGATCTTCCCTTCTCTATTGAACTGACTTGGTAGCCCTCTGGTACTATTTAGGAAATTTATCTAATCCACATTCACTAAGATTTTCTTTTATGTTTTCTTTTAGAAGTTTAGTTCTATGGTCCATTTCAAGTTAATTTTTCTATACGACATGAAGTAAGATATGAGATTCTTCTTCTTTTCCTTGTGTCTGCTTGTTCTATCAATTAAAGAAGAGGGCATTTAAATCTCCAAATGTGACTGCAGATGTGTCCATTTCCTTCCTCAGTTCTGATCATTTATACTGCACGTATTTTGAAAATATTACTAGGTATGTCTTCTTGATGAAATGACACTTTCATAATTCTCGCTGCTTTTATAATTATGAAATCTATGTACAATAACATTATTTGTCTTAAATTCTATTTTGTGTCATATTAAAACAGTAGCTTTAGTATACTATTTGCATAGTATACCTTCTTTCACTCTTTTACTTACAACACATGAGCCTTTATATTTAAAGCAAATTTCTGATAAAAAGTATATAGTTTGGTCTTGCTTTTTTGAACCAAGCTGACAATTTCTACATCTTAAAATTGTGGCTTTTAAGATTAGATATAGACACGAAAATTTAAGCTGCCATAGTTTCAGATTAGATACAGTTAAGATATAGGCAAGATAGAGATAAGGCATACTTTCAGATTAGATATACATAAGATACAGTTAAGATAAGATATAGGTAATATATAGATAAGATATAGCTTCAGATTCGATATAGATAAGAAAATTTAAGCTGCTGCAGTTTCAGCTTCTTGGGAGGCTCAGGCAGGAATATCGTTTGAGCCCACAAGTTTGAGGCTATAATGGTGCTCTATGATTGTGCCTGTGAATGGCCACTGTACTCCAGCCCAGGCAATGTGCTGAAGCCCTGTCTCTTAAAAAAATGAAAGAAAGAAAAAAGAAAAGAAAATTTATAAACTTGAACTACAAGGAGACAGAGTTGTAACTATGAAATTGGGGTTAAAAGACATGAAAAACAGATTAACATCCACTCATAGGAGTTTAGGGACAGAGTACATACAACATGGGAAAGGCGAAATTTGAAAAGACAATGGCTAAGTCTCCAGAATTGATGAAAGAAGTTTTTACAATTGATGAAAGACATGACTCCTCTGATTCAGTAGGCATAATGAATTCCAAACAGAGCAAATAATATGCTACACACAGACACAGTTTCACATTTTAGTGAAACTGCAGCACATCAAAGACAAAGCATCTTAAAAGCAACCAGAAACCACCCCCTCACAAATCACCTACAAATAAGAGAGTAGACTTTTTTTGTTAAATAGAAACAAAACACGCCAGACAACATAAAATAGTATCTTCAAAACACTGAGAGATAACAGCTATCAACCTGTAATTCTAGATTGAACTAACTTTTAAAGTGAAATAAAATAAAGATACTTTCAGATAAAGTCTAGAATAGTTACGATTAAGGAACCATTGCTGAAAGCACAAACCAAGGGCTTGCACACTATGGTGCATTTAGATATTTGAAGGGCATTTTTGCTTTTTACAATGACTAGGGAGTTTTACTCGCATGTAGCATGCATATCTACTAGCACGTATATGAAAACTTTGAGAAAAGGGAAATTTTTGGCCGGGCGCGGTGGCTCACGCCTGTAATCCCAGCACTTTGGGAGGCCGAGGTGGGAGGTTCACGAGGTCAGGAGATCGAGACTATCCTGGCTAACACAGTGAAACCCTGTCTCTACTAAAAATACAAAAAAATTAGCCAGGCGTGGTGGCGGGCGCCTGTAGTCCCAGCTACTCAGGAAGCTGAGGCAGGAGAATGGCCTGAACCCGGGAGGCAGAGCTTGCAGTGAGCCGAGATTGTGCCACTGCACTCCAGCCTGGGCAACACAGCGAGATTCCATCTCAAAAAAAAAAAAAAAAGAAAGTAAAGGGAAATTTTCTATAAAGAGCAAGACAGTCCTACAAAACAAATAACTGTCCAATCCAAATGCCGTTAGTAGTCCACTGAGAAACACAGAAGGAGGAAGATACAAGATGGGATGGTAAACAAAAATTGTATGACCTGTGGATTAACTTTTAATAAACAAAAATAAAAATTACAATTTATGGGTATAAACATGAAACAGAAGTAAAATACTAGACATGGCATGATTTAGAATTAAAGTTTCCCAAAGTCTGTGTGTCACATAGAACTATTGGTAAGTTTTAGCCAAAAATTGTAGAGGTAACAACAAAAGCACACAAATTGAAAGTAAAAAGAGGAGAAAAGATGACACAAATATCAAGCCAAAAAAAAAAAAAAAATCAGCCACATTAGACAATACAGATTCTAGGGCAAAACCACTATTATAAATCAAGATGTTCATTACATGATAACGACTATAAAACTATGTGTACCTAATAACACAATTTCAAAAGACATACTAAAAAAAGCTAGTGCTATGAGGATCAACTGCTGAACCCATATTTGGGTAGCTTTAAAAAAATCGTATTTGGATAGCTTTAAAAACCTCAATAGATCAAGAAGATAGATCAAGAAGGTAACAGATTAAAGTATAAAGAAGTACACAAGTAACAAGCTTGAGTTAATAGACACATAGCAAACTTTCCAGTCAACGAATAGAGAACACATAATTTCTTCAAGCACATTTATAAAAACTGACCCCTTAGAAGAGTAAAATATCAAAAGAAAACCTATCATACAATAATATATTCTCTGACACTACAATTCTACAATTAAGCTGTAAAATGGTAAGAAGATAACCAAGCTAACCCCGTTACTTTAGGATGTTAAAAAAAAGACCTTGCTTTAAAAATAGGTCCAGTGAAAATAATAAAAACATGATCCTGACTAACACGTCTTACCGATATAATACGATCTCCTTTTCTGAGCTCTCCACTTAGATCGGCAGGTCCTCCGGCTAAGATAAAGGAAATAAATATTCCTTCTCCATCTTCTCCTCCTACAATGTTGAAACCAAGGCCCGTTGAGCCACGATGAAGAACAACTTTTCTAGGTTCCCTAAAATTTAAAAAAAAATTGAGTATCTTGGAAATTTTATATAAAACCTGACATTCTATCAGTGAGAACTACCTACTGATAATTTTTATGTTATCAAACCACAAAGAAAGCTAGATAACATCTAAATGGTTTTCCTAAAACTATGGGATAAAGAGATTCTAAGCCTAAAAATCAAAGGAAAATATCTAATTTTATATAAAAGCAAAAAAACTTGTTATATAAAACAGAAATGAAACCAAAACAGAAAAAAAAGTGGAAATTTAAAAATAGTATAAGAGCCTATCAGGAAATACACATACTCATGAAAAGCTGATGTTGCACACACTTTATTACCTTCAAAGCAATCACTCCCCCTACTTACATGTTTAAAAGGCAGCTATCCTTTTGTCTTAGAGAAGGTAGGCCCTTTCTCCAGTCTCAAAGGGATGAACTGTAACCAACCTAAGCGAGACATTGCAATCCCATGCCCCTTTGCTAAGGCGAGAGTATAACCCCATTCTAGCCTCTGGTAAATGAAGGGAAATTTTACTGTCATTTTCTAAAGACAGACAAACCTTATCAAGGACAAAGCGTCTTTGCTACCTTCCTTTCCTCAAAAAACAAAACAAAACAAACAAAACCCCACACGACTGAGTAATACAATCCCTTTACTGGTCTGCACATACTATAGTCAAGAAGGTGAAACCAAGAGTATACTAAAGACACCATGGGCCTAAGGTTGCTATACCAACCTGGGAATTGCCCATCTTCAGGCTTTTTATATGAAATAATTAAAACCTATCTGCAGGGGCACAGGTAGGTTTTACCATATTGGTGATGTTTTATTTCCTGTATTAGATGATGAATTCTGGGTTTAGTGTTGCTATCATGCTTTAAAATGTGTATGAATTAGGATTTTATATTAGGAAATTATACTTGATTAAAAAATACTCAGCTGAAATTCAACGGTATTTCCAGGGGAAAATACACTCTGATTTTCAAATAATATAAGCACATGAAAAGGTGCTCAACCTCATTAGTCACTAGGGAAATAGATATAAAAATAATGAGATACTTCAGATCTACTAGGATGGCTATAAAAAAAAACCCCACAAAACAAAATAACAAGTGTTGATGAGGATGTAAAGAAATTACAACTCATACATTACTGATGAGAATATGAAATGGTGCAGGCACTACGAAAAACAGTTTGGTGGTTCCTCAAAAAGCTAAGATAGCATTACCATATGACCCAGCAATTCCACCCTTAGGTATATATCCCAAGTAACTGAAAGCAGTTATTTGGACAGATACTTGCATGTCGGTATTTATTATATCATTCCTCACAAAAACCAAAAGGTGAAAATAACTCAAGTGCCCATCATGAGATGAATAAACAAAATGTGGCACATATGTATAATGGAACAGTACTGTCATAAAAACAAATGAAATTCTGATACATGCTAACAAATGAGTGTATCTTGAAAACATTACTGTAAGTGAAACAGTCCAGTCACAAAAGGACAAATATTATATGGTTCCATTTATATAAACTATCCAGAATAGGCAGATTCATAGAGACAAAGAGTAGATGAAAGGTTACCAAAGGTTAATTACTGCTTAATGGTCACAGAGTTTGTCTGAAGTAATGAAAAGGTTTTGGAAATAGTGATGGGTGCACAAAATTGTGAATGCAATTAACACTACTGAACTGTACACTTAAAAATAGTTAAAATGTCAAATTTTGTTACATATATTTCACTACAATTTTTAAAAACTGATGTAATATACCACAAATTGAATTGTATACTTTAACTAGGTGAAATTTATGGTACGTCAATCATATCTCAATAAAGCTGTTAAAAAATAAACTTTAGAACCAAAGTTTAGGTGTATTGTGAATTTTTTTTTTACTTTTTTGATATTGGTAACGTCTGAAAGACTGCTTAAGGTCAAATTGTGAAGAACTTGTAATGTTGGAAAGATTTTGTACTTCACTATTACAAAGTAGTGTGATTATCAAAAGGGAGTGGCAAAATATACACCATTTTAAGAAGATATATCCAGTAATGAACCACCTGATTTTCACAGAAAAGTATGAAAGCAGGTCGTCTTGTTATGTAATAATACTTCAAAGTCCAATGCAATATTCTAGACAAGAGTTCAAGTGAAGAAGCCTGAGGAACAGTAATCAAGGTGCAAATATAACTTATTTTTTAGTTTGTAAAATATGCAAAGAGATTAAACACTAGATAAGCCATCCACTATTATAGTTTCCCTCTTTACTGCCTTAAATAGGCACTGTTAGAAAGTAACAAAAATAAATGGCAATGAAAGGTCACTCTAGAAGCACTGCCTGAAGACTAGCAGCCTTGGATATTCCTGTTACAATCAAATTAGAACACTATTCTTTCTGCTAATTTTTGTCCCAAACACAATTACTGACAACCTATTAAGTTTCCAACATTGCTAATTATTTATGAAAGAAAAGAGAAAGCACTCTTATCTGTCCTTAAGATCATTGCCTAGAATCAGGAGTCTGATAACTAAAAAATAATAATGCTAACAATAATGTAACCAATAAACGTTAAGAACAGACATTACTTGTACATATTTTAATGTTGAATCTATAATATAAAAAACATGTACAAATTATAAAGCAACCTGTACAGTGTCTTATTACTATATTGAATAATATGAAAAAGATCTACAATGCTTTTTCTCTCATTTTTTTCTACCTCATTAGAATTCTTTGGGACTAAAAAGATAGTTAATCTATAAATTTCAGTGCAGTTAGTAATTTTAGATGAAAGTAAATTTTGTGTGTCAGAGTATCAAGGATATACAGCAAACAAACAAACAAACAAACAAACCCACCAGCCAGCCAAAGGGGCTCACGTCTGTAATCTTAGTACCTAGGGAGGCAGATACGGGAGGGGAGCCTGAGTCTAGGAGTTCGAGGATGCAGTGACTGACGTTCATACCACTGCACTCCAGCCTGGGCAACACAGTAAGACACTGCTGCTAAAACCAAACCAAACCAAACCACCACTTGTGTAATTCTGAACACAAATCAAGTAACTGCAATATTTTTATGGTATATGTTAGATAAGGAACATATAAAATGTTACTTTAAAATAGGCATGAGAATTTTCTTAACTTAGTTTTACTAAGCTAATTCCTAAGAACAATTTACCAAGCCTTAAAGAAAAGCAGTATTAATTGTAAAAAAGGAGCAGTAATTTATTTGAAAAATAAAACATTTTTATATTTCAGGCTCTTCAATGAATCCTCCAAAGGAAAAAATTAAGCTGTAAGCTCACTAACTGTCAATAAATTTTTTCAGTCCTAAAACTTGTGGCTATCTTACATGGCTGATTAAAATTCAATTTAATAGCTGATTTTATGTAAGAAGAACGAACGTTAACTTCCTTACCTTGTAATTTCATCATCTCCAAGCACTGCTTTAGAAACTGGTGAGTATCTGGCTGGTGATGCTGGTGTCTGGCCCAAGAAGGAAGATGGGCTAACATGGTTATCGACAGGCTGAGAAGCTTCAAAATAAAGAAAGTGAAAAATACTTCAAAAACGAAACAAGCCAATCAGCATTCCATTTATGAGTGATTAATGTGTAATTTATAGTCACTCCTTTGTATATCAGAATTTGGTAGAGAGAATTTATTCATCAGCTAAAAAACTGGATGTTATGTTGTCCAGGTTAGTCTCAAACTCCTGTCCTGAAGTGATCCTCCCACCTCAGCCTCCCAAAGTGCTGGGATTACAGGCATAAGCCACCACACCCAGATTACTATTTTAAAGAATTACATACAGTCTAAATTTGATTGTGAATAATCAAACCAGAGGCTTTCCAATAAGTGCAAAAAGACTATGTCCTCATACTATCTCAGATCTCTCAACCTAATTTACATCTATTCTTTTAAATTCACCCATAGAAGAATAAAAACCTGGTAAAAAGCAAAAATGAAAAATAAGCAAAAACCGTCATCCAGGCGTAGTGGCTCACGCCTGTAATCCCAGTACTTTGGGAGGCCAAGGCAGGTGGATCACCTGAGGTCAGGAGTTCGAGACCAGCCTGGCCAACATGGTGAAATCCCGTCTCTACCAAAAAAATACAAAAATTAGCCAGGTATGGTGGCGTAGCCTGCAGTCTCAGTTACTCGGGAGGCTGAGGTGGGAGAACCTCTTGAACCTGGGAGGTGGAGGTTGCAGTGAGCCGAGATCGCATCACTGCACTCCAGCCAGGGTGACAGAGTGAGATCCCCTGTCTCGAGAAAGAAAAAAAAAAAAAAAAAAAAGAAAAGAAAGAAAAAACCATCCGTTGGTTCAATAGTAAGAAATACCACATATAGCTTTTCCATTCTAGCAAAAGCTAATAACAGAAAATTATGAAGTGATTCCTGACCATGCTTTCCAAAGACACATGGCAGTTGTAGCTTTCAAAGACACAAGACACTTGAATTATTTCAATCATTACCAAAACACAGAGGAAGCAATATTTAACTTTCTAGAGGCTTTAACTATGATAAAGTTACAAAGCACTTCAAAAGTAGCTGTATTATTTAATTATCCAACATAAATCTCTTTTTTATTAAATTAGAGCATATCTTCTATGGAGAGCAGCAGTATACTACACACTGGAGTACAAAAATGCAGGAATCATTAGTTCAAATTACTATAGTGGCCAGATAGATAACATAAAGGAATAAAGTGATCTGAATGAAAGACACCAGGAAATGACTGAACCTGTGGTGTTTTAGAGATGTAGTATGTCTACTGATATCACAGGTTTGCAGTACCCAACAGCAATTGTTTCCTATCCCAGTTCATCTCTAAGATGCTCTTTTGTATTTGAGCCAAAGCACTTTCTACCAATGGCTCTTAACTTTGAAAGTCCAAAGTCTTTCCTGGGTGGTAAGAATATGTGATTTTCAAGTGAACTGGTATGTAGCCCTCAAACAACAGATACCCACGTTAACCTCTACTTTTAAAAATCCAGAGTTTATCGCTTTTTGACTCTTAAATTCTTTTGTTGCATTTTCATATTTAGATGAAACAAAAAACAACTAGAAAAGAAATTCAGTCAAATGCCCAAACCAGGAAATACACATTTTCCCTGACACATCCAGACTGTGTCAATGCATCCTTGCTGGGGCAGTTAATCTCACATGTAACGCATACTCTTAGACAACAGGGACTAAAAATTAATGTTCCTATGAAAGAAATGATGGCCTCAAAGAAGGATCAGATAAAGTAGTACTATTTCTTATGCCCCAAATCTTATGTAAAAAGGTCCCCCAGAGAAGCACAAAACAAGGATGCCTATTTCATTTTTCTTATATATTAAGATTAATGATTCAACACCTCTAAGATTTTATAGAAAAGCAAGTAGAGGAGCTTGAAGTGGAAATGGGAAAAGACTGGTGGCCAAACCAGAAGTTTAGCAAGGCCATGAAGCTAAAAAGAATATAAGTTAAAAGTGAGAAGATACATAATGTAAAAAACAAAAGCATTTTAATGCCAGCAGATAAACTGTATTCTCTGTTAGATTCAACAGACTTCTTTTTTTTCTACTTTTATTCCTGAGTATCATATTTCAATTACCTTATTTTGGTTATAAACATTGTGGCTCTTTATCTTCTATAGTTCATGTGTAACTTCTATAATCTTCTCTATTTCTTTTACTATTCTTGCTAAAAATATTTTTCAAACTAGTACATAAATTGTTTTCCAATTCTGACATCTGCTCACTTGCAAGGTTGCCTCTGTGAGAAACATCCCTCCATCAGTGCTTGACAATCACCACACAAAAAAATCAAATGTTATCTAGTCCTCTTAGGTAACAAGAGACAGAAAATCTGAACACACTTGTATCTGCTAAGGAAAATGCATTCAGAACTAAAATCCTTCCCAAGAAAACTCCAGGGCCAGATAGATAGATAGCTTCATTGGAAAATTCCAAAAAACATCTAGAGATAAAATAACATTCTGAAACATTACAAGACAGAAAAATTTCAGGACACTATCATAAGTTCATGCTTGTGAACACAGATGTACAACCTTAAACAAAATAGAAGCAGTTCAAAATCAATGATATATAATATGTATTATAATGATGTGGGTTCCCCCCACAACAAATGACTGGTTTAACATTAGAAAATCAATGTAATTTATCACATTAACAAAATAAAAGAGAAAAATCATCTCAATAAATAATTGGATGAAATTCAATACTCACAAGACAAAAACTCCCCATAAACCAGGATTAAAGGTGAACTTTCTTAATATAAAAAGTTATCTACAGAAGACCTGATGGTAACACCACATACAATGGTGCACTACTGTTTCCCCCAGTTTGTGAACGTGACAGTGATATTAATTATCACCATTTCTGTTCAACACCTAACCGGAGGTCTTACCAATGCATCAGACAAGAAAAAAGAAAATCAACAGTATGAAGATAGGAAAGAAGGAAGTAAAATTCATTGTTCACAGATGACATGGTTATATACATAGACAATCTGAAAGATCTATAAAACCTAATATTAACAAATTTAGCAAGGTTGTTGACTAGGCAATTAATATACAAAACAGATCATATTTCTTATATATCAGTTAAAATTAGAAACATTTAAAAAGTAGTACATTTATAATAGCATGAAAAACATCAAGTACCTAGGACTAAATCTAACATATAAAACCTCTATTATACAACACTGCAAGAAGGACCTCAATAAATGAAGAGATATTCATATTAATGGACTGATTAAGAAACTCAATTTAATTCTTCCTAAACCGACCTGTAATTTTTGGATCTTAAAATTAAAAAGGAAATTCAAAGACCCAACATAATCTTGAACAGTAACAAAATTAAGCTTTACTTTAAATCAACATTTATTATAAAATTATGATAATTAAGAGACTGCAGGTGGCACAAAGATAAATAGTTCAATGAAACAGAGGAGCCTAGAAATAGGTTCATACATATGTGGTCACTTAAAAGCACCAATGCAATTCAGAGGCAGAAATGGTCTTTCAATAAATGATGCTGGATCAATTATATATCTGCATATTAAAAAATCTCTCATTACATGCAAAAATTAGATCAAAGTGGATCAGAAATGTGAAAGGCAAAATAATAAAGCTCCTAGAAGTCCCTTATGACCCAAGGATAGGAAAAATTTCAATGGGTCACTAAAAGCTCTACCTTAAAAGAAAGGACTGATAAGGACTTAAAAAATTTTATCCATCAAAAAACACCATTTTTTGAGGGGAAAAGGGAAAAACAAACTCAGTGAAGACATCTGCAATAGATATAACTGATTAGAGTTATTTCTCAAATACATAAAACTTCCTTCAAATCAAGAATAAAACCAATAGAAAAATGTAAAAAGATTTGAACAGACATTGCATTGAACAAGAGAGTCAAAGCAATAAGCACAGGCAAAAAATACTGAAAATCATTAATCATCAGGAACAACCAGCAATAAATAATCATCATCAATAAAATCATGAGATAACTTTATACATATCCATACTATTCATAATTAAAAATATGGATAATACCAAGGGTTGGTGAGATGTAGAAAAACTGGGGTATTATCTCCTATACTGTTGAAATTGTTTTTTTTTTTTTGTTTTTTTTGAGATGCGAGTCGGTTGCTCTGTCGCCCAGGCTGAGTGCAGTCGCACGATCTGGCTCACTGTAAGCTCCGCCTCCCAGGTTCACGCCATTCTCCTGCCTCAGCTCCCGAGTAGCTGGGACTACAGGTCCCGCCACCACCCTGGCTTTTTTTTTTTTTTTTTTTTTTTTTTTAGCAGTATCAGCTGGAGACTAAACATATGCCCCTACCCTATACACACACAATCTCACTCCACGAGAAATGAGGCTTTGTCTGACAAGGATGTGCAAAAATATCCACAGCAGCTATACTTCAAAAAGATCAAAACTGTAAGTGATTCAACAGTAAAATGAAAAAATTGTCACATACTTGTATACAATGGAATAAATACATAGCAATTTTAAGAAGCCACCTGACTGATCATCAAGCGAAACTCTTAAAATTGTACCCTTACTGAATATTTGTTTTAATTCATTAAAATTAAATAAAGAGGTCAGGTGCAGTGGCTCACATCTGTAATCCCAACACTTGGGGGAGCTGAGGCGATCACTTGAGTTAGGAGCTTAGGCACATAGTAGAACCCCATCTCTACAAAACAATTTTAAAATTGCTGCATGATGTTCTAGACACTTGGAGGCGGGATGTGGGAGCATCGCTTGAGCCCAGAATTCCAGGCTCACATGAACTACAATTGTGTCACTGCACTGCAGCCTGAGCACTGAGATCCTGTCTCAATAGAAAAGATATTTTATAGACTTTCTCCCATCTCTTTTACTGGTTTTTTTTTTTTTCCGTAAGAGTTCTTGGCTTTGTTGCCCGGCTGGAGGTGAAGTGCGTGCGTCATACTCAGCTCACTGCCCAACCTCCGCTTCCCGGGTTTCAGCAATTCTCCTGCCTAGCCTCCCTGAGTAGCT